AACCCTATCGGCGAAGTGTTCATTTTGATACTCTGGAGTGTGTAACTGTATAGTGAAGAGACATACCTGCATAACACCTTGAGCCGGTCACTGTGTGGGAGGAAAGTGGTACAGTGGCTTCTCCTGTCTTTAAGGGCTGGTAGGTGACACAGCCCTTGTAAATAAAGTGGGATCAGAGAAAATGGCTAAATATCCCCCAGGTCTTCCCCATCATGCAGTCCGGTATTATGTCACGTGATATCACTTACGTTTAGTTCTTAGTTCCTACGGTGAATTATCTCAACAACTTTCGTTAAATACTTGTAAAAGAATCTCTCCATCACCCAGTACTGTAATAATGATAAACAATAATGTTGGTAAAGGTGTAGATAACGGCTACCACCAGAAGGAAATGTCCGAATTGATTGAACAAAAATTTTACACACTAATATATTAAAAAAAAAAATGGAAACGACACTCCATAGAACCTGATCTAATATATATGGGTATGTTAGGTAAGGTTCTATTAGGTTCAGTGCATTTTCGTGTTAATTTATGCGTTCAACAACTTACCTTAATATTGAGGTTAACAACAAAAAATGGCGCCGGGAGGAAAATTGTGAAGCTGGTTAAATTAAACAAAAAATGAAATAAAATACTTTATATCATAATAGAAAATTGTCGTTTCTTTTAATATATTTAAAATCATCAAAACAAAATAAGTACAGCAAAAATAAAGAAAATCAACAAACAGCTTCTAGTGATAGTAGTTATCTACACCTTTACCATAATGTTTATCAAATTAAGTGATCAATAATTCAACCTCTTATAATATATGAATAAATAACCGAAAAATATATCTAATTATTTAATATGGAGGTGAATATCGTTCAATCAACAAACTTCAATCTGGTCTAAACGCGGCTAAAATATACACAGGTTACAGGTTGCAGGTTCATTGACCAGGCTGGTTCACAGGCACCACACCAAAGAAGATATTTCAGAATACTTAAGTACATTAAGTCATAAACTAATGTACATTACTGAAAAGACTATAATTTATTACGGAGGTGTGTATATCTGACCCCTTGAGCAGACCCATGCCCCTTCACTCAGCTCTTTGTTGCCTACTCTCCCTAGAACCCTTAACTCTCCCAGAGCTCTTCACTCTCCCCAGAGCTCTTAACTCTCCCTTGAGCTCTTAACTCTCCCAGAGCTCTTAACTCTCCCCAGAGCTTTTAACTCTCCTTCAGGGGAGGGAGGGAGGAGAGGAAGAGGGAGGGAGGAAAGAAGGATCTCCTGGGGGAGGGAGAGAGGAGGGAGGTACTGAGGCAGGGGAGTAGTGATAATGGCGGGGAGGGAGAATTGATATTAAAACAGTTTATTTAGCGTTAAAAACACAGATACAGAGCCAGTTGAGAACCCGAGGTGCACCTGATATATATACTGTACAAGGAAGGATTATGTTAGTATCATCTGCAATAGTACACGTAACATTTATTTATTTATTTGTTTTATTTATTTATATATTTAATTATTGATTTTTATACTTATTTTATAGGGGAGTTGATATCTGGGTTGTATTAGGGTGGAACAAGAGTACAGAAACTGGCAGTATCATGTCTCCTTACATAACCATTTCTAATATAATGGTTTTGGTGGTGTAATAAAGGTAGGAATATAAAGTACGTATTACAAAAAATATATTGATATGATAGAAGGGTGGTAGTGAGATACTGAGGGAGAGAGGGGGAGGAAATGTCTCAGTGAACGTTTAAACTTATACAAAGGCGGAGTGATGGTGTGCGCGGTACTTGATGACGTCACTACCACACTGTTTCTCCTCAATACTTGTCGGGGTTTACGGTCACTCATCACAGCTTAGTACACACGATATTACATGCATTCTAAACAATCATTCCCAAACTTAATATTAAAGACGCAGTGAATGATTTATTTACATATTCAGACGAAACAAAAAGAGCAACTACGAAGAGTTTAGAACAACTGTGTTCCGTGTTTGAGTAATGAAAATGGAGTTTTGAGTTGTCTTTTCTGTCCTTATATTGCTTTAAACAACGCAAGTTTCCTAAGACTTTCGTTTTGTACATTTGGTGTTAATTTAGGGTGGAGGAGGGAACTAGTTTTATTGATGGAGGGACGCGGACGGTCGATGAAGGTCGGCCATAACTCGCCCTCGTTGAGCCCAGTCTTCTGAACATGACGTCAGGGCTTCCCCATCAATGAAATAGAAAGTTAACAATTCCATTGAGTTTAGTTTCCTGTTATCTTTTGATATTTATTTTTATTTTTTTTGCTATGGAGGACACGATAAAATTGTGGGAAAGTGTACATGATAATAGTAGGGTGTTAGCAGGGTGTAATGGCGCGGGCTGCAGTACCCGGAGTGTTATTATACTGTTCACTTTGACGACACTCACCAGCTGTAACTGTGGCAACAAATACGGAAGCCAACTCCTCACCTGATTATCATTACTATCCCACTAATATTTGAGGCGAAAAATTCTGAAACGATTAAATTACAAGTGCCTGAGCATTTATCGGTGGTTCATATTCGTTTCTTAATATTTCGTTTATGCAAGTAACATATTGTATCTCTCAACAGCCTACGTGGGAAAAAGCTCCTTAGTTTTTTATATTATTGATACTTTTCTGTTTTATTGTTTATATTTAGAGGAGTTTAACATGGTCAAAAACTACAGGTCGTGGCTGGGCTCTAGGTCAAGAACACAACTAAATGAATTAAGTGATATAATATGAGAAATTCAGCACGAAACATTCCCAAAACTGAGAGAGTTTGTCGATACCTTAGTTTTATAATATTTCGCTTTCTTCCCATTGTTTCAACTTGTTCTTATTTGTTCTTGTGTGAAGCAGCACCAGGGGCCTCCCCTCCCGGTGTTACCTCCAGCAACATTACAGGCGGCACAACCTTCCCACTGCACCAACATTAACTCACTCACACCACAAGATTAAATGAATTAAAAAAAAAAATGCAAACTCACTGGCTGTTGGATATTTATTTTTATTTCCGCAAACCAAAGCCAACAACGAAAACTTTTGAAAACTGTAGATATCTGTACTGGCACTCCACTTTTTACAACCCTTCGCCTTGTTTTTCTACAGTAACAGAAGTCAGCTCTATGTTAACTTGTAAGTGCAGGACCTAACTGCCTTAATAGTAACTGCTATATTGTAAGATACTGTAGGGTTATGAGGTGCCAGGAGTGCCAGGGCAGTGTGCCACTACCATTATCGAGATAGTGGTAAACTACACCCAGTTGGAAACACTGCCAGGTTGGCTTTCCTATACACCTACCCACTGAGTCCATCACTTACACACACGGGGGAGTTTTCCAAATACACTGTACTGTTTTTGTGACTTACGGGTTGATTGTTTCAATATAGTTACATATTATAGTGATGGACAAATGTGTTTATGAAGGATATTAGAGGGAGGGATGGTGTTGAGGATGAGTTATGTGCTGAGGGAGGCATCAGCCGAGCGTGTCATGCTTCACCACCACACACGGTCATACACCCTGGCTCCTGTGCCACTTTCTAGTGGTCTGTTCCACATACTTCCATCTGATGGCGATTTGTTCACAATAAGACCTGTTTTACTTGGTTTATACATACACTGTGAGACCTTTATCAGCTGTTAGGCGGGTGGGGGAGTGGAGACGGGTGGGCAGTGAGCACACACCTCAACATTACCCCATGTAAACAAAGTGATGTGTCAGTAAAAGCTTGCAAGGTCACCCAGACTGTGTGGAATGCTTGGCACTTCATTCATTCCGTACACCTACACACGCACATACGTACACCTACACACACACACACACACACACACACTTGTTGCTTTCGAACGCGTATTTCCAACATTTTCATTTTTGTTTGTGTCTGCGGTGTCAGCTGTTTAACTAAAAACACTGCAGTAACAGCTCAAGTAACACTGTATATTGTTACTTGTGTGACGTGTTGGGCCAGGGGGGGCCTCGTACAGCTGGTGGGGGAGGCAGTAGTACACCACCTGCTGTACTCAATGAACTTCACCTCACCTTTATTCATTCAGTAAAATCTTGGACAACATTATGATCACCAAAAGAGTAAACACCTAACATTAACCACTTTAACGCTGACCTAATTTAACCTAACCTGACCTAACCTAACCTGACCTAACCTAACCTAACCTAAACTTAACGCTAACCTAAGCTTAACCTAACGTAAATATAAGCTAATCTAATTTAATCTGACCCTCCAGGTAGCAGGTAAAGTTGGGGTGTTTAATCGTCAGGTGAATTACACTGGGGGGGCGAATCTTCAGGTGATACCTATTTGGAAATTAATGGTTGTAGAAGAAGCAAGTGACTTTCTCGGGCTGCTGAACCTTTTGTGAACTTGTATGAAGGGTGAGGAGGGTGAGGGGGGGAAGGAGAAGAGTGGGAGGGGTGAGGGAAGGAGAAGAGTGAGGGAGGGTGAGGGGGGAGGAAGAGTGGGGAGGTGTGAGGGGAAGGAGAAGAGTGAGGGAGGGTGAGGGGGAAGGAGGAAGAGTGAGGGAGGGTGAGGGAGAGGTGAGAGGATGGCGGGGGAAGGAGAAGAGTGGGGAGGATGGGGGGAAGGAGAAGAGTGAGGAGGGTGAGGGGGGGAAAGGAGGAGAAAGAGTGGGGATGGCGGGGGGAAGGAGAAGAGTGAGGAGGGTGAGGGGGGGAAGGGAAGAGTGAGGAGGGTGTGAGGGGAAAGGAGAGTGAGGGAGGGTGAGGGGAAGGAGAGTGAGGGAGGGTGAGGGGGGAAGGAGAAGAGTGAGGAGGGTGAGGGGGAAGGAGAAAGAGTGAGGAGGGTGGGGGAGGAAGGAGAAGAGTGAGGAGGTGAGGATGGCAGGGGGGAAGGAGAAGAGTGAGGATGGCGAGTTAAGGTCACCCTCACATTCAAACTTAGCGCGTGTTCCCATACGTGGCTCACCCTATGACGTCACACCACAGTCAAAACATTAAAGATGGCGAACATGGCGAGTGGTATGTACCAGCAAATGGTGGTTCCCGCGCCCTACCACTTCCACCAACCACAACCACAACCCATGCCCGCCGTGTCACAGGAACCTGAACCCAAGAAGGAACCTAAGAAGCGAAAAAAACCCTCAGAGAAGGTCAATGGGGAGAAGAAAAAGCCGAGGATCATTGGTCAGACGGCGTATATGGCAGGGGTGAGGCAGGAGGCTGGGGTAGCTGATGGTGGCGAGTGTTCACGTTGTAATAAGAAGAAGTGTTTTAAACATGCTGATGCCAAGTGAGTCTTCCTCTACTACTACTGCCCCTCCTAACACTATCACCATCACCTGTCATTCCTGCTAACACAACTCCCCCTTTTCCATCTCTACTCATTACCCTCTCCTACCTGATATAGACCTTTTATTACATAGGCCTATACTATTTATGTTAATTCTCACGTTCATACCAACACCGTAGTTCATTTTCTCTGGGATAATTACTAAACTTTTTTGTGTTACTACAGGTGTGATGGTGGAACAAGGGAGATGCTACTTGAAAATGTGTTACTTTATTATGACAGGTGACGTGTGTGTGTGTTGCGGGGTTTGGAAGAATATAACTCTGCAACACTCAAGGTTTTTACCAGAGTATAACCTGACCTTGTGTACTGTATGTCTGTGTTGATTCATTATCTCCAAGGTTGTGTTGTGTTACTAGGATTGTGTTGTTACTAGGGTTGTGTTGTGTTACTATGGTTGTGTGACTAGAGGTGTTGTTACTATGGTTGTGTTGTGTTACTAGGGTTGTGTTGTGTTACTAGGGTTGTGTTGTGTTACTTGTGTTGTGTTACTAGGGTTGTGTTGTGTTACTAGGATTGTGTTGTTACTAGGGTTGTGTTGTGTTACTAGTTTGTGATACTAGGATTGTGTTGTGTTTGTTACTAGGGTTGTGTTGTGTTACTAGGGTTGTGTTGTGTTACTAGGGTTGTGTTGTGTCACTAGGGTTGTGTTGTTGTGTGGGTTGTGTTGTGTTACTAGGGTTGTGTTGTGTTGTTACTAGGGTTGTGTTGTGTTACTATGGTTGTGTTGTGTCACTAGGGTTGTGTTGTGTCACTAGGGTTGTGTTGTGTTACTAGGGTTGTGTGTTGTGTCACTAGGGTTGTGTTGTGTTACTAGGATTGTGTTGTGTTACTTGGGTTGTGTTGTGTTACTAGGGTTGTGTTACTAGGTTGTGTTACTAGGGTTGTGTTGTGTTACTAGGATTGTGTTGTGTTACTAGGGTTGTGTTGTGTCACTAGGGTTGTGTTGTGTTACTAGGGTTGTGTTACTAGGGTTGTGTTACTAGGGTTGTGTTGTGTTACTGGGATTGTGTTGTGTTACTAGGATTGTGTTGTGTTACTAGGGTTTGTGTTGTTACTAGGGTTTGTGTTGTATTACTAGGGTTGTGTTGTGTTACTAGGGTTGTGTTGTGTTACTAGGGTTGTGTTGTGTTACTAGGATTGTGTTGTTTTTACTAGGGTTGTTTTGTGTTACTAGGGTTGTGTTGTGTTACTAGGGTTGTGTTGTGTTACTAGGGTTGTGTTGTGTTACTAGGGTTGTGTTGTGTTACTAGGGTTGTGTTGTGTTACTAGGGTTGTGTTGTGTTACTAGGGTTGTTTTGTGTTACTAGGGTTGTGTTGTGTTACTAGGGTTGTGTTGTGTTACTAGGGTTGTTTGTGTTACTAGGGTGGGTTGTGTTGTGTTACTAGGTTGTGTTGTATTACTAGGGTTGTGTTGTGTTACTAGGGTGGTCACTAGGGTTGTGTTGTGTTACTAGGGTTGTGTTGTATTACTAGGGTTGTGTTGTTACTAGGGTTGTGTTGTGTTACTAGGTGTTTTGTGTTACAGGTGTGTTGTTGTGTGTTACTAGGGTTGTGTCACCAGGTGTGTTTACTAGGTTGTGTTGTTAAGGTTGTTTTGTGTTACCAGGTTGTGTTGTGTTACTAGGTTGTGTTGTGTTACTAGGTTGTGTTGTTACTAGGTTGTTTTGTTGCTAGGGTTGTTTTGTGTTACTAGGGTTGTGTTGTGTTACTAGGGTTGTGTTGTGTTACTAGGGTTGTGTTGTGTTACTAGGGTTGTTTTGTGACTGGTGTTGTGTTACTAGGGTTGTGTTGTGTTACTAGGTTGTATTGTTACTAGGGTTGTTTTGTGTTACTAGGGTTGTTTTGTGTTACTAGGTTGTGTTGTGTTACTAGGGTTGTGTTGTGTTACTAGGTGGTGGTTGTGTTGTGTTACTAGGGTTGTGTTGTGTTACTAGTTGTTTTGTGTTACTAGGTTGTTTTGTGTTACTTGGGTTGTGTTGTTACTAGGTTGTGTGTTGTGTTACTAGGGTGTGTTGTTACTAGGGTTGTGTGTGTTACTAGGGTTGTTTTGTGTTACTAGGGTTGTTTTGTGTTACTTGGGTTGTGTTACTAGGGTTGTGTTGTATACTAGGTTGTGTTACTAGGTTGTGTTGTGTTACTAGTTGTGTTGTGTTACTAGGGTTGTGTTACTAGGTTGTGTTGTACTATAGTTGTGTTGTTGTATTACTAGGGTTGTGTTACTTGGGTTGTAGTGTGCTACTAGGGTTGTGTTACTAGGGTTGTGTTGTGTTACTAGGGTACATTTGTGTTACTAAGGTTGTATTGTGTTACTAGGGATGTGTTGTCTTGTGTTACTAGGGTACATTTGTGTTACTAGGGTTGTATTGTGTTACTAGGGATGTGTTGTCTTGTGTTACTAGGGTACATTTGTGTTACTAGGGTTGTATTGTGTTACTAGGGATGTGTTGTGTTACTAGGGTACATTTGTGTTACTAAGGTTGTATTGTGTTACTAGGGATGTGTTGTCTTGTGTTACTAGGGTTGTATTGTGTTACTAGGGATGTGTTGTATTGTGTTACTAGGGATGTGTTGTCTTGTGTTACTATGGTTGTCAAAATCCTTCGTTCGTTGTGTAAGGGAAAGTGTGGAATTTGCCAATGAAGAAATGTTTGCAGTTGTAGATATTGTCGACAGTGAACAATTGAAGACTGGCGGTGGCTGGTGTACCAACATGTTACGCTTGTCTGTACTAACAATTAATTTTTTCTGCATGGGTTATAAGGGACCACATTTTTAAACACTTGAAGCCAGCCATGGTAGAATCACAGTGCAGTATATTGTGGAATTTACAGTTTCTCTTAGTCTTTAATCCAGTTTTTGCAGAAATTCCTTTTTTTCTCACTATTGTATGTTACATTTCTTTTTATCATTGTTAAACTCAGTTCTGTTATTTGGGTGTTCATTTGAGAGCATCGTGAAAGAAAAATTAAAATCAATATTAAACGAAGTGTACAGGGCTGATGCTTGGACCAGTGTCACCACAACTCCTTGACTGCTGTGTTCATGTCATATAAACACAGCAAGGTGACACAATAAGTCATCAGGGGTCGAGAGAATGTACAGAACAGTACAGTATCTCTAATTATATAATGGGGTGTCAGTGTATTAATGTGGGAGTATAATTAGTGTAGATATTGGCTGACTTTCATACTCTTCACTTTGTTTCCATTATTGTCTGGTTTCTTGTAAGTGCTGTATAAGTATAAAGTTGTTACTGTACTTATATCACTTCTGTATTTATTGTTGGATTATAATCATTGTTTACACTCACTGCAAAAAAATATGTTTATGATTTTGTGTGGGACAATATGACACAACCCTACTGAGACAACAGGAGTCACATTGTTCATTGTTCATTTATTGGACCTTCCACGGAGATTGTCTTCTGTAGTGAGTGCACATCAACATCTGGATTTATAAACATGTTTTGTAGTGTTTTAAGATGTTTTAAGGATGTTTTTTTCCATGGGAACATATCTCGACTTTTATAATGGGAGGCTTTGGGAAAATGTGCTTTGATATATGAAAAATTTTGTATTGATGGAACCCTTTTGTAAATTGGGGAAAACATACCTGTAATAGAAGGTTTACTGTATAGTTACTGATATGAGAATAAGTTGTGACTTCTCTTAATAAATAAAAGTTTACTTCTATAGAGTAACAGTTTTATAACACAACACACAATCACCCTCACAGGAACAAGAACCAGATGTCGAAGAAGACGCCAGAAGACACAGTACTACAGATGAAGAAGCACATGCTAAAGTTATTATCGATGCACGACTACACCATATTCTGTAAGACTGACCAGAAGAACGGACAGGTGGACGTTGATATCTCCAAGATGCACCGGTCGTACCTGGAGGAGCACGAACCACAGGCCTTTGAGCCGCCTCCGTCTAATGGTTGGTGTTATTATGTGCCGTACAGTCACGGTCAGGCTGTTCCACCAACCCCGAGATTCAGACTTGTGAACCTGAAGCAGTAGACGCTGATGCATTATTGTGTCCATAAATGATTCCGACTCAGTGTGACTCTAGGGATTCGTGGTTATGGAGGAGAGGAAACAGAACTCTTGTGACAGACAGACAGCCCAGCCAACACTGTACAGTAGAGTCTACAGTATACACTACACTGTCTTAGTGACTATTATTGTTACCAGTTGTTTAGTACAGTACTGTATTGGGTACAGGAACTGGCACTGTGCTCCGAGCTACCCCCCCCCCCACTCCATCTCTCTCTCCAGTGGGTGACATGTATCTATGACAGCTCCTTGACCTTTTTTACTTCACGACACATCATTTAATTTGTTCATCTCTTGCGGCACTAAATTAGTATTTGCCACGATAAGTGTAAGGAAAGTATATAGTTACTTTTTGGGGGCTAACAAATGACTGAAGGAAATATCCGGCAGCCAGTGCTCCTACATGTGCAAGACCGTTTCAGGTTGCATCACTCTGCGCTCCAAAATGTTTTACCCGTGTGTGAATGAGATGGGCCCTGGTGACTGTTTCATAAGTATTGCATGAATATATGAAAATGGTAGTGAACTTTAATGTGTCCGTTTATTAACTTTCAATACTAATTTATATTTCTTATTTTCATTTATATAATATCAGTTTCCCGTAAATGTTATTATTGTTTTATAGTGAATTAGAGGAATGTACCGCGGCACCTCTGGTGTGTCACGGCATACTAATTGTGGAGCACTGACCTATGATCCCCACCTTCCTCTTGTTCGGTTAGCTTAAGTTAGGTTAGATTAATTTTGGTTAGGTTAAGTTAGGTTAGATTAATTTTGGTTAGGTTAAGTTAGGTTAGATTAATTTTGGTTAGGTTAAGTTAGGTTAGATTAATTTTGGTTAGGTTAAGTTAGGTTAGATTAATTTTGGTTAGGTTAAGTTAGGTTAGATTAATTTTGGTTAGGTTAGGTTAGGTTAGATTAATTTTGGTTAGGTTAAGTTATTCAGTAAAATCATTCATCGAGTTTATTTTGGTTCAACAGGTATACAGTTGTGTAGGTATGCAGTTGTGTAGGTATGCAGTTGTGTAGGTATATAGTTCACTTCTCACACACACACACAAGTAGTACTAATATTAATGTGTTATCTTTGCCTTGTCTTACAGATCCAAATAGGGAATACAAGCCTAAGGTGAAGCAGTGGCTGTATCGAAAAATATTCCTAGATGAGTTTAAGAGCTTCGAGTATACCGAGTGTAAGCGTCACATCGGGGACTTGAGACGCAGTATAGAGAGCGTCATGATTCAGAAAAAGAAAAAAACTCCGAAACCCAAACCTCCGGCTCCTCCTCCCCAGCACCAGGTCAGTCAGGAGAAATGTTTACCGTCACTGTGGTCGAGGGAGTGTCAGACGAGTCGGGGAGAATGTGGTATATGTCGTACCTGTAATTTTGGGTGATTATTTATGGTTATATAAAACCACATTGTGATATATCTGTGAATGTTATGTTATACATTACCTTACAAGAGCTGTAGATTTAGTTAGGGAAGGAGTGAGAGTTGCGGCTCCTCTTTATTTGTGACTGGTGTTTTTTGCCAGGTGATGCCACAGGACTACAGCATGAACAACCACAGTCCTAGTAATGGTGGAGCCACTGACATGAGTCGAACAGCTATGCCTCCCCCGGGGACTATTGTAGCCGCCACCACCACGCACCCACCAGCCAGTACTGCCCCGGGAGGATACCAGGTAACAATGACAAACTTTAACTCTAATAACATGGTGTTCACCCCACAGTTGCCATCAGGTAACCACGGCAAGCATGGAAAAATGACCGTAAAACGTTCATGGCGATGATTTCCAGATTCAAAATTCCCTCCAAATGTAATCAGGTGATGAAGCTTGGGTTAGGTTAGTCTCTCGCAGCACAGGAAAACACTGTGTGTCCTGCGTGCTGGCCAGTGTCACCTCTGTGCTCTTGCTGTCGGCATTGTTCAAATTTCCCAAATTATTGACCTTCCAGAAACCTCTTGGCCACAGGATTTTTGTTGTGTTTTCCTAATACTCAAGTGTAGTAGAATTTAGCAAGACCTCTTAAGATGTGACTTATTATTAGTTGTAAAATTTGTTATCTCTTTGTTCTCCTCCCATTATTCTTGCCACATTATTCTTCCATTGTTCTTGCCACTTTGTTCTTCTTCCATTTTCCTTGTCATTTTTTGTTATTGTGTCATTATTTTTCTTTACAGCCCAACTTGATGAACCTCGGGGTGGAGACGACATCTGCCCCAGTGTCGTCCATGGCAGCCATGGGGGCAACCTCAACACTCCATAATTCTCTAGCCACCTACATGACTCAGCAGGTACAGCCCAACTTGTTGTTTGGCTTGGGACAACAACAACAACCACCTCCTGCACAACAACAACCTCTTAATTTACAAACGTCTCATCAAGGTCAACCGGCTATGCAAGCGCCCCCTCACCAGGCGCCCGGAGCCGCAGCCCCGCCAACTGCCGCTCCTCCCTTACCACTTAATTTACACAATCCTTACTATGTCTCTCTAGGTCCCATGTTGCCTCTCCCACAACATAACCATCAACAACAGTTCCAACAAAATATGTTGCAGCAGCAACAAGGAATTCCAGGTGGTTTTAATCAGCACACTATGTACCAGTGAGGCAAGGCGGCCCCCGGCCCTACCCACTACCCGTCCCCTGTGCCAGCACAACACCCAAACCAATATTGTCCATACACTCGCATGCCGGCCATATCCGGCTCCTATCAGTATACCTGGTCTGTGGCGGCCCCGGTGGCCCCGAGTAACTCGTCGGCCGCGGCGAGACGAGCGAACTTCCCGCCCGCGTTTACCTCTCAACCCCAGCACTGTTATTTACCAAACTCTGTGCCCCCTCAAAGCTTCCCTCACTCTACTGACCATCACCTCACACAGCCTTTGTATCACAGTCACTGCTCCTCAGAACATCAAAAAGTTTCTCCTATTCAAACTTCGTCAGTGATGCCCCACACTCTTGCCTCCACCACGTCGCCTCAGCCCAGTTCACAACGCATCACGACCTCGAACGCGGCACCCGCCGTGCACCACGTTCTCGCGACCGTTCCTTCGCCGGGCGTACTACAGAGCGACTACCCGCCCAAAACGGTACAACACGGAATCACGGTCAATCCCCCACAAAACAACTATGTCAATTTGGTATCCTCTACTCATTTAGTGTTGGACAAATGTAACCCCACGAGCCAACACATAACAAGCCAAAAGGGTGAAGCCACAGACCAACAAACCTATTTGCCAATTTAGTTAATAATAGACAAAATCTATCATTATCACTAAAGTTTTATATTCAGGTGTATGTTAGTATACAGTATTGTAAGTTAAGCATCGTTGCATTTCATCGGTAACTGCAACTGTGTGGAGTTTGGTGTGTGGTGTGTGTGGTACAGATAAGGTCAGTGGCCACACATTGGGTTTCCTAACAAAAGTTAATCTTAGGGACTACGGGGCCGAATTGATGCAGACTTCCCCTAGAGGAGTCTTGCACACTGCTAATGTAATCTTAGATACACATAAACCAGTGTTAATGGCGTATGTCGTCACTATACTGGTTCCTCCTGTGTAGCTGTGTCAAAATAGGACTTTATGAAACACCAGAAGCCTTACTGGGCTAACTCTCATATTTTTCCATCTCTTATAAATAATAGGATTATTGTGTACAAAGATTAAGATAGTTTCTTTATTGTTATAGTTTGAGTTTAGTCCTGATTATCCTCTCACAGTGTACACTACAACAAGTATACTGTGTGTGTTGTATTTGTTCAGTGTACACTACAACAAGTATACTGTGTGTGTTGTATTTGTTCAGTGTACACTACAGTACAACAAGTATACTGTGTGTGATGTATTTGTTCAGTGTACACTACAACAAGTATACTGTGTGTGTTGTATTTGTTCACTGGCCAAGCTAAGTAACTTGTGGATACATTTATTTTCTTCCATATATTAGCAGTGAAGAGTACAGTACAGTACAGTTCATTACAGTACATTACAGTAAAGTACAGTACAGTACAGTTCATTACAGTACATTACAGTAAAGTACAGTACAGTACAGTTCATTACAGTAAAGTACAGTACAGTACAGTACAGTTCATTACAGTACATTACAGTACAGTACAGTTCATTACAGTACATTACAGTACATTTCATTACAGTATATCAGTACAGTAAAGTACAGTTCAGTACACTAAAGTACATTACAATATAGTATATCATACAGTACAGTACAGTACACTAAAGTACATAACAATACTGTACAGTATATCTCAGTACAGCACACTAAAGTACAGTACAGTAAGGTACATTACAATACAGTATATCTCAGTACAGTAAAGTACAGTACAGTACACTAAAGTACATTACAATACAGTACAGTACACTAAAGTAGACAACAATACACTACAGTACACTACAGTACAGTACAGTACACTACACTACACTATCTCTGTGTATGGGCTTCCTCAGAACAGGACCTTACAGTATCTTATAAGAAGACTAGAGTGCACAGTGTTGAAGGTCAGCCGGCAACTTATTACACTTGTCCAAATGTCTGTGATGAATCCCATTTCTTCCTTCCTCTCCACACATAGCCTCTCATGGGCTTATAAGTCTTTCTGTTCAAAAAATATTGTATTCCATAATTGTGATCATATAATACTATGCAGAATCTTTGTTATTTGAGTCTCTTAACTAAGCTTGCATTCTTAACACTGAGCCGCTGATAACTCACGACCTGATTGGCCAGATTTTTAGTTTTGAAGTGCGTTAAAAGCGACCCCTGTTTAGAATGCAATACTTTTATGGAATGTGTTTCTATACGCATCTTATTTTCGACTTTTTTTTTGTGGGGGTGGGGGGTATTTTGTCTGACAAGAGCTGTGTAACTTTTTTTTTGTGCTATGCTCACTTATTCATTGCTGTTCCTCAGAATTTTGTTATGGGCATAGAAATCTATTTTTGCCATGTTTGTATAATAGAAAGTGTGCGAGTCTATTGTGGAGCCAAGTGGTGCTGTGTAGAGACTGGCTGAAGCTACAGTACAGTGCTTCCTTCCTTCCTGTGTGGCGCGTGTGTACGGTACTCACAAACATTGCAGTGTATACTATCTTGAGTTCACCAATACTGTACTAACAAGTATCATTAGTATTGGTAGGAGGTGTAATGTGTAGGTGAGGGAGGGTCAACTGTATCTGGGAGTAAGGCCTTGTACTGTATCTACTGTACTCCATGGGCATTGAGCCACAAATTGAGGGAAAGACAGTACAGTGTATTGGCAGCTGGTACTGTATGACAGGGTGGAAAAAACCTCTTTGAATAGTTGATCATGTTTAAATCTTTTACAAGGTGTGTGTGTGTGCGTGCGTGCGTGCGTGCGTGCGTGTGTGTGCATGCGTGCGCCGTGCGTGGCTCTAGGGACGGTGTCAGATAAGGATCCACATGCAGTACCGTACACGACTTCACAAAAGATCTTAATTCCTATGCAAAATCATGTGGAGAGAACATATCCCAGGCGACTCCAGATATTACTTGAAGAGAAGAGATTTGTCAGCCGAGTCATACCGTGTTATTTTTATACAGTAGGCTAGTGAAGTGAGAGTTACTTTATAGTGCACAAGTGGTGAGGAAGGCCAGCAGCTTCCTCATCAGATGCTGGGCCACAGGTGCTACTGCGACTGCTTCTTTCTTCACAAACCTGAGACTGTTTTCCCCCGTGAAGGAAATCGAGCGGCGGCGGCAGCTCTCTGTGGCCGAGTTACCCGCTTCTCGCGACGAGGATACATATCACGTGTTTATTTTGTCGACGCCCGCTAGTTTGACTCCGAGTGCAGATCCTAGTTTACCAACGATGAATTAGTTATGAGTGATGGTTTATTGGTGTACTGTATGTGGAAGTGATATTTATTATTTTTATTATGAAAGATTTTTTATTTATTTTCCACTAAATAAATTAATGGCAATGTGATCATCTGACTTGGTTGAGTAGAACTGGGTTGTTAGTGGTTACATTATTAAAACAGATTACTAATTATTTTTTGGGTTCTATTTTTTTTAAGATTTATCTTTTCACTATCCATGAACAATTATTTTGTATATTTTATTTTTTCTACTTGTAAATTTTTATATGTGATAACGGACTTGTTTAAAGAATCCATAGTTATGTTAAAGTCTCACAGAGGGGAGGGTGGAGAGCAGTGCTGATGACCTGTACTGTACCACACCATCATGTTTATTATCTACACTCGCTCCAAAACATGTCTTCACGATTTTGTGTGATACAACATGACACAACCGACGAAGGATTCTGACAACACTACCGAGACAACGGGAGTCACAGAGTTCATTGTGGCGTTCATTGACCCCCTCCGTGAAGGTACTTGTTAGAGCGCGTGTACGGTAGAAAGGAGTTCCTCAGTATGGATGCCATTTTCTTTACCATAATCTTCTCATAAATTGTCAACATATTGTATAGTAACGTAAAATGTGTCTTAGGATTTTTGTTTACCGAGATTAAAAAAATATGGAGAAACATTTTGGGAGGAGATTAGCAAGTGGCTTGTGCTAAGTGGTTGATTATATTTTTGTATTAATTATAAGTACAAGTGTGCGGTGGCAGCTACAAGTGTCTTGTGGCCAGTCGTACTGATAGTAATCTCAACCAGGTCTTGTGATAGCTTTTTAGAATGTATGTTTGGTTATCAGAGATCATGGAAAAAGATGCTGGGACCTTCTTCCTTCAGGTGTTTGTACTAGATTGTGTAACCATACTTCTGTTGATGCTTCACTCACACGCACACACACACACACACACACACACACACACACACACACACAGTACCAGAACAATACAGTTTTTAGCAATAATTTGTGGAGGTAAATGTTTCTTTGTTTCGTATTGTCTTTGTCTAATAAGCACATTTCAGTATTTTTTAATGAGGGTGGCCACATGTTTTAGTGTCATGGAGTCTACGGGGAAGTTATATTTAAAGTCAAGACGTAGGTGGTGCAGTGTTGCTTTTTTCTAGTCACACACGAGCCAAGAAGCTGTACAGTAAATAAAGAAGTATTATATATTATTGGAAGTTGGGCATATTTTTGGCTTACTTAACTGCCAACAACAGTTTTATTAGTTTTGGGGAAAGTTCAAAATGTTTTGTAATATATCTCTTTAGAATTTGTTATTCACTGTAATATTACTGTACTGTGCTCAGAACTTTTCTCATAGATTTTACTTTATCTAAATTATGCAGAATCAAAAAACTAACTCGCTCTCTGATGAGACGTTCATATAATGTGTTTACTGTATGTATAAAAGTTTTTTAAGTTCAATGTTAAAGTTGTGAAATATTTTGGCACAAGTGGAGTTGGTTCATATATATTTGTCTTGAGATGATTGTGTGCATCTTATATGACTAAACTGTGAAGTGGGAAATATTACACACTTAATATGATACTGCGGTCAATAAATGGATCAAGGAAATAATGTGTTCAGGCAGAAATAAAACACACACACACGCACACACATACACACACACACACACACACGCACAACACACACACGCACAACACACACACACGCACAACACACACACACGCACAACACACACACACACACACACAGCACACACACACAATCACAACACACATGCACAACACACACACACACACGCACAAACACAAGCAAGCACGCGCACACACACACACACACGATGATGATGATGGTAGTGGCAAGGAGCTGCTAGGTGTGACGGGGAGCTGCTAGGTGTGACGGGCAGCTGCTAGGTGTGACGGGGAGCTGCTAGGTGTGACGGGGAGCTGCTAGGTGTGACGGGGAGCTGCTAGGTGTGACGGGGAGCTGCTGCTGGTAGCTGCTAGGTGTGACGGGCGGCTGCTAGGGTGACGGCAGCTTAGGTGTGACGGGCGGCTGCGGTACGAGTGGGAGCTGCTAGGGTGTGAGGGGAGCTGCTAGGTGTGATGGACAGCTGCTGGGTGACGGGCAGCTGCTAGGTGTGACGGCAGCTGCTAGGGGTGTGACGGGCAGCTGCTAGGTGTGACGGGCAGCTGCTGGGTGGGTGTGCAGGTGTGCAGGCAGCTGCTAGGTGTGACTGAGCTGCAGCTGCTGGTGTGTGACCGGGCTGGTAGGGTGTGATGGGGAGCTGCTAGGTGTGACGGACAGCTGCTAGGTGTGACGGGCAGCTGCTAGGTGTGACGGGCAGCTACTAGGTTTGACGGGCAGCTGCTAGGTGTGACGGGCAGCTGCTAGGTGTGACGGGCAGCTGCTAGGTGTGACGGGCAGCTGCTAGGTGTGACGGGCAGCTGCTAGGTGTGACGGGCAGCTGCTAGGTGTGACGGGCAGCTGCTAGGTGTGACGGGCAGCTGCTTGGTGTGACGGGGAGCTGCTAGGTGTGACGGGCAGCTGCTAGGTGTGACGGGGAGCTGCTAGGTGTGACGGGCAGCTGCTAGGTGTGACGGGCAGCTGCTAGGTGTTGGTATTATTTCTTTAATGACTTATTGTACCATTGATATGTCTATAAACGAAGTCTACTGTTGTTTTCAAGTGAACTCTCTCTCTCTCTCTCTCTCTCTGTCTCTCTCTCTCTGTCTCTCTCTCTCTCTCTCTGTCTCTCTCTCTCTCTCTCTCTCTCTCAATAGTGAATCAAAATGGACTTAGTGAAGTATTAAGTGTGGCACATGGGTTACATTGTGGCCAAGTACAGTTGATGAGGTTTGTGTTATGAATTGACCACAGTTACCAACTCTCCATTAAAGATGTGGAATATGACTTATTAGATGTGGCTGTTGTTTATACTGTACTGCATTAGTTGAGTTATGTCAGAGTTATTAGGATAAGTTTATGCCCGGTGATGGTGGTAAGATCATTATCCCACCCCTCCTCATCCCCTTAGATGGTTCGCGGCTCAGTTAAGCTTCAGGCTGGTTAAGCTTGGAGAGGATCGGGTGAGCACTTGGGGGAGCTAATCTTCAAGTAATCCATAAATGCCTAAATTTCCGAATGGTCTTGTTTTAGGTGTTACTATCATCTACAGTTTAACACAGTGCAGGTCATCAAGAAAGTGCTATGATTCAAATTGTTTAGTATATCGATTATACAGTACATTGGTGTGGAGATGACTTATGGGGACCCCTTGGTACAGCACAGTGTGGAGGTGACTTATGGGGACCCCTTGGTACAGCACAGTGTGGAGGTGACTTATGGGGACCCCTTGGTACAGCACAGTGTGGAGGTGACTTATGGGGACCCCTTATGGGGACCCCTTGGTACAGCACAGTGTGGAGGTGACAGTATGGAGATGACCCCTTGGTACAGCACAGTGTGGAGGTGACTTATGGGGACCCCTTGGTACAGCACAGTGTGGAGGTGACTTATGGGGACCCCTTGGTACAGCACAGTGTGGAGGTGGACTTATGGGGACCCCTGGTGCAGCACAGTGTGGGTGACTTATGGGGACCCCTTGGTACACCAACACAGTGTGGAGGTGACATAGGGGACCCTTGGTACAGCACAGTGTGGAAATTGACTTATGGGGACCCCTTGGTACAGCACAGTGTGGAGGTGACTTATAGGGGACCTTGGTATAATACAGTGTGGAGGTGACTTATAGGGGACCCCTTGGTACAGTACAGTGTGGAGGGGGGTGATATAAGGGACCCCTTGGTACAGTACTGTGTCACAAGTACATATATCCCTTTCTTTTGCCTGTGTCACAAGTACACACTATGTCACTAATTACACTGTGTCACAAAGTACACTATATCACTAGTACACTGTGTACAGAAATTTTTCATATCACCTAGTACCTGTGTCCCCACAAGTACACTATGTCACTGTAGTACACTGTGTCACAAGTACTACCCTATGTCACTAGTACACTGTGTCACAAATTACACTGTATCCACTAATTTTACTGTCCTAGAAGTACACTATGTCACTATACACTGTGTCACAAGTACACTATGTCACCCTAGTACACTGTGTCACAAGTACACTTTCTTCAATCACTAGTACACTGTCTACATTACACTACTGTCACTAGTACACTGTGTCACACCATTACACTATGTCACTAGTACACTGTACATTACACTGTATCCCCACTAGTACACTGTGTCACTAGTACACTGTGTCACAAGTACACTATGTCACTAGTACACTGTGTCACAAGTACACTATGTCACTAGTACACTGTGTCACAAGTACACTATGTCACTAGTACACTGTGTCACTAGTACACTATGTCACTAGTACACTGTGTCACAAGTACACTGTGTCACTAGTACACTGTGTCACAAGTACACTATGTCACTAGTACACTGTGTCACAAGTACACTATGTCACTAGTACACTGTGTCACAAGTACACTGTGTCACTAGTACACTGTGTCACAAGTACACTATGTCACTAGTACACTGTGTCACAAGTACACTATGTCACTAGTACACTGTGTCACAAGTACACTGTGTCACTAGTACACTGTGTCACTAGTACACTGTGTCACTAGTACACTATGTCACTAGTACACTGTGTCACTAGTACACTGTGTCACTAGTACACTGTGTCACTAGTACAGTTTTTTTGTTACTCGAGAAAATGCTTGTGTTTGGTGTTACAAAATTATTTCAGCCAAAAATTTCTGTATTCACTCTGTGTGTGTGTGTGTGTGTGTGTGTGTGTGTGTGTGTGTGTGTGTGTGTGTGTGTGTGTGTGTGTGTGTGTGTGTGTGTGTGTTTGTGCGTGTGTGTGTGTGTGTGTTGTGCGTGTGTGTGTGTGTGTTGTGCGTGTGTGTGTGTGTTATGCGTGTGTGTGTGTGTTGTGCGTGTGTGTGTGTGTGTGTGCGTGTGTGTGTGTGTGTGTTGTGCGGCGTGTGTGTGTTGTCTTGGCGTGTGTGTGTTGTCTTGGCTGTGGCGTGTGTGTGTTGTGGCGTGTGTGTTGTGCTGGCGTGTGTGTGTTGTCGCGTGTGTGTTGTGGCGTTTGTGTGTGTGCGTGTGTGTGTGTTGTGTGTGTGTGTGTGTGTGTGCGTGCGTGTGTGTTGTGTGTGTGCGTGCGTGCGCGTGCGTGCGTGCGTGAACAACAATTAGTACCCATTTTATTCTTCACATTTTGTACCGTGTATATAAATATATACAGTATATATATATTTTATTATATTGTACTTGAACAAAGAAATGTTCCCAGTGCTTACTAAACCATTACCTCATGCCATGTTTGACAGCCAGTCAGTTGGGCATTATTGTAAACTCTCTCTCTCTCGTGTCTGTGGGTCTTGGCGATATTTGTAATGGTGGTCTGTGTAGAAACTTGAACATGTTAGCTGTGTCCTGCTCTACGGGGATGGCGTTATTTATGACCCCCAAAGAAAGCAGCAGCATGATTGATACAGTATAAGTATTATCTATTTTTTTTTTATTATTACTTACAGATCAATTTTGGTGGAACACTGATTGTTTTAAAGGTGAGGGCCGGTCAGCTGTGTGTGGAGTATGTACTGTAATAAAGATATTGCAGTTGTTGAAACTGAAATAGTATGTTCATCACTGCACCATTTTCTGAGGTACAGTTTGTGTAAAAGAAAATAATAAATGGCTACTATCTGTGGTGAATGTTGAGGAATGTATCGTAGGGTCTTAGTTCAGGTAGTGTTGTAGGTTAAGATGTTCCTCTTCTCCTCACACACTCATCAGTATCAACTTATTTGCTGCAATTATTTATTTTTATTTTTTCTTCCTTGATAGTTCCTTTTGGGGGGGGGGGGGTAAGGTTTGAGGAGGTGAGAGTAAACCTTGTGTGTGTTAAAACATTATTTTTTGTCCTAAATGTAAACTCGTGACAGACTTCAACACGTGAGACTTTTATTGATTCAGTTACGGTGTTAAGACTTTTCAGATGCCTTTACAAAGTGTAATTAGTCATTGTAAACCAGGTTAATACACATGCAATATTTTTCACCATATAATTTACAGGAAAATAAATCCCTACAGGGAGCATTAGAGCAGCTGTAGATGTGAGCTTCTCTTATCCTTCAGGCTCGGTTGTGTACAAATGTCCCTGGTCACTCTTGTCAGTACCTGGCCTCATGTACAGTACGTTCACTAACAAAAATCCTGGCCCCTCTCCTGAACCACCAACCCCGAGATCCAGACCCGAGATCCAGACTCATGAGTCTGAATCTCGGGGTTTGTGGATCAGGAGGAGAGGAGAGGAGACAAGAATTTTGTTCGCGATTGCACTTGAGCTTCACGTAGGTATGACGGTTGTGATGTTAACATATAATTGCTCAGAATTTTCTTTGTATTATAGTTTTTTCTCTTGGGTTATTGTGACATAATTTATAATGTGAAGCAACACTCACCAGGTATTGGTCAATCACACACATATGAGCCACTAATAGTTACCAGATATTGCCAAGCGTCGAGGGTGTTCTTTAAGCAACTGTACACCGTGACAGTGTTTCAACATTGATAAAAGTTGAGTTCCCTGTACAGTATATGAAAACATTGGTGGTGTATGAGTGTAAGTTAGTGTCCAGGGCATTTGTTTGGTCCGATTTTAATCATGATTTGATTTGATTAGGCCCTCGTGTACTGTGTCGCTCCTCAGCCGAAGGTGTTAGCCAATTGATATATTAAAAATGGCGTCCCTGTAGTGAAGGCATTAATATGAGAACTTTGTACACAGTGAAAGTATATAATTATCAACGCTGAGTGTCCTAGGATCACTGGACTGAGATATTCCTTATATAAGTGGCAGCTAATACCTTTGTTCCTCCTCCTCTTGTCTCCTTCATTATCAACTAACTCACTCTACAGTACAAAGTGATCTCTACACACTATTTATGTATATATGCTTTCTGTAAGATCACTCTGTATTTGGTTTATGAATTTTGTGTATATTTATGTATGGTGGAAATGTTCAGTGATAATTATTATTATTATTATTTTGTATTTGAAAGGCATCCAGGTTAAAGTTTTTGAGGAGTACCCTAGCCAAAATGAATGCAATAGTGAATGTTGCATTATCTTCCATTATCAGTCCATCTTTATTGTTGTAAACTTTGGTGCTCAATTTATTCTCTTCTCTCCTATGCGTGTCCATCACATTATTAGGAACACTTTTGTTTGTCAATATGAATTATTTTAGAGTAAGTAAAAATTTAGTAGGAGTCTGTACTAATAATTTTATGTGGCACAAAAGCAGCGGACATGATGCAGTTTTATTTTGTCAATGTTTTGTTGAAGTAAAGAATAAAACATTACTTGACTTATGCAGTGGATGTGGTACAGACTTGTAGTGTACCATGTGTTTCAGTGGTACAGACTTGTAGTGTACCATGTGTTTCAGTGGTACAGACTTGTAGTGTACCATGTGTTTCAGTGGTACAGACTTGTAGTGTACCATGTGTTTCAGTGGTACAGACTTGTAGTGTACCATGTGTTTCAGTGGTACAGACTTGTAGTGTACCATGTGTTTCAGTGGTACAGACTTGTAGTGTACCATGTGTTTCAGTGGTACAGACTTGTAGTGTACCATGTGTTTCAGTGGTACAGACTTGTAGTGTACCATGTGTTTCAGTGGTACAGACTTGTAGTGTACCATGTGTTTCAGTGGTACAGACTTGTAGTGTACCATGTGTTTCAGTGGTACAGACTTGTAGTGTACCATGTGTTTCAGTGGTACAGACTTGTAGTGTACCATGTGTTTCAGTGGTACAGACTTGTAGTGTACCATGTGTTTCAGTGGTACAGACTTGTAGTGTACCATGTGTTTCAGTGGTACAGACTTGTAGTGTACCATGTGTTTCAGTGGTACAGACTTGTAGTGTACCATGTGTTTCAGTGGTACAGACTTGTAGTGTACCATGTGTTTCAGTGGTACAGACTTGTAGTGTACCATGTGTTTCAGTGGTACAGACTTGTAGTGTACCATGTGTTTCAGTGGTACAGACTTGTAGTGTACCATGTGTTTCAGTGGTACAGACTTGTAGTGTACCATGTGTTTCAGTGGTACAGACTTGTAGTGTACCATGTGTTTCAGTGGTACAGACTTGTAGTGTACCATGTGTTTCAGTGGTACAGACTTGTAGTGTACCATGTGTTTCAGTGGTACAGACTTGTAGTGTACCATGTGTTTCAGTGGTACAGACTTGTAGTGTACCATTATGCTGCTGCTATAACCATCAGTCTCAGCCTGTATTGTACATATTTAATATTCCCAGTCAAATATATTAACTCTAAATATAATAATAAGGAACATAAGTGGAATTTTGGCAGAGTTTAGCCTAAATTACGGGGCAGGTGTTAGTGTGTCTGACTGTGAGGACGATTATCACACATGTGCAGTATGATGGTCAGCCTTGTGGGGGGATGTGCACACCTTCCCTTTCACTCCATTAATTTGTAGATGCATTATTATAACAAACAAAGATGTATTATACGCTGCTTTGGTATGTAATGTAAAAATGTGAACCTAAGTTTAGGACAGGAATATGTATGCCATAAATATTTGTTTTTAATTTCGTAATAAAACAACAGAATATTAAAGTCTGTTATTTATACCTTTCACTAGTAACAGCAATACATAATTACGGTTGTATAATAATGGAAGATATTATTTATAAATAATATAAGTATGATAATGGTAAAACGTACTGAAAATAATGTTTTACCTTTACTACACACTAATAAAAATCATACAGAAGAATGAATAAATTATATAAAAACTGTCTGTTAGTAAGATAAATGAAGAAATATGAATAAATTATATAAAAACTGTCTGTTAGTAAGAAATATGAAGAAATTATATAAAAACTGTCTGTTAGTAAGATAAATGAAGAAATATGAATAAATTATATAAAAACTGTCTGTTAGTAAGAAATATGAAGAAATTATATAAAAACTGTCTGTTAGTAAGATATATGAAGAAATATGAATAAATTATATAAAAACTGTCTGTTAATAAGATATATGAAGAGGTTAAAGCTATAAGCACCATATATATAACTGGTGCCATAGTAAGAGGACTGAGCAGGTTGAGACACACGTGGTTGTGTTTACCTCGGTAGTAACATATGTCCTTATTGTGTTGACGGGTGAGGCGAAGGGTGGTTGAGGGAAGAAGGGAAACACCAGTATTGACCTACAACCTCTAACAAAGGACTTTCTAGATCGCAGCTCTTTAACCAATCATAGCTCTAGACTTCAATGACGTCATGATAAGGGCGGAGTTTATATATTGTCCGATTCATTTAACGCGACTTAAATAAGGTTAAAATATACCTAAATTATTTATAAACTAAAAATCTGGAGGATATTAATTATATTATTTTAAATTATTGTATATATCTCATTAAATATGGATTTTTTAGTTGAGAATAAGTTAAAAGTGCAATAATAGGTAGAGGTTGTTGAGAGAGTGTTGGGACGCTGGACAGGTGTTTGTAAATATCAACATGGCTTCCAGCTTCTACCACTCCATGGTACCTCAACCTACATTTGTACCTCCTGCCCAAAACACTGTCCAACAAGAGTCACCCAAAGAAAAGAAAAAGAGGACTAGAAACCCAGAGAATTGGAAAAAAGAGAAGAGAAAACGTGCAATTCTCTCTGGCCAGGCGTACGTGAACACTAAAGGAGAGTTGGTGGGGCCTCGCGCTATAGGTCCGGACTGTAACTGTAAGAATAAATGTTTTACGGCAGTGTCCGACGACAACCGTAATGCTATATTTAACGGCTACTACTCCCTCAACAGGTGAGGTGCTTCTCTTTATTACTACCAGCATGTGAGTCATTAGTTACTGTATGTACAATGATCAGTCACACTAACACAGTCACAGTGTGTACTAAAATAAACAGTCACAGTGTGTACTGAAGTAAACAGTCATAATGTGTACTAAAATAAACAGTCACAGTGTGTACTGAAGTAAACAGTCATAATGTGTACTGAAGTAAACAGTCACAGTGTGTACTGAAATAAACAGTCACAGTGTGTACTGAAATAAACAGTCATAATGTGTACTGAAGTAAACAGTCACAGTGTGTACTGAAGTAAACAGTCACAGTGTGTACTGAAGTAAACAGTCACAAAGGCAGAACATACCATACAGAAAACTCAGATCAAACAACAATGACCCTAAATGGATAAATAATTATTTAAAGAATATTATTGGCCAAAGGAAGGCTATAGGTAGGAGAATAAATCGTGGTGAAGTTTACCTCCGAGGCTACTATAAGGTATTGGCCGGTAGCAAGGGAGGCAAAGACAAACCCCAAGGGATTCTATCAAATGTATCAAACTAAAACACGAGAAAAGATTGGACCAATACAGTCAGATACCGGCGAGCTAACTGATGACGACGGAGAAATGAGCAATAATTTGAATAAATGTTCTTCAACAGTTTTCACCACCGAAAATTTAAACATGATACCCGAGGCACCGACTATATACAGAGATAGTGAAGCGAGATAGTAGTGACTAGTAACGATGTTAGTAAGCAAATAGACAAACTAAAGCCTAATAAGTCACCTGATCCCGATGAGATATTTGCCAGAGTATTAAAGGAATGTAAGGAAGAGCTTAGTATACCCTTAGCAAAGTTGTTTAACATGTCCTTAAAAACGGGTGTAGTACCAGAATCCTGGAGGATAGCGAATGTAATACCAATTTTCAAGAAGGGAGATAGATCACTATCCTCTAACTACCGTCCAATCAGTCTAACATCAATTGTAGGCAAATTACTGGAAGCAATCATTTCAAACTCTATTCGAAATCACCTGGAGAAGCACAAGTTGATCAATGATTCCCAATATGGCTTCACAAGCGGGCGTTCATGTCTAACTAATCTATTAACAATCTTTTCATCAGTTTTGGTATCAGTGGACGAGGGGCACAATTATGATGTGATATATCTTGACTTTAGCAATGCCTTTGACAGAGTCCCCCACGAAAAACTAATAAGAAAAGTGGAGGCTCATGGCATTAAATGTGATATTCTAAAATGGATTAGGGCGTGGTTACAGGACAGGAAACAGCGAGTAAGCATTAACGGCATTAAATCCAATTGGAGCAATGACACAAGTGGAGTTCCGCAAGGCTCAGTACTTGGACCATTATTATTTATTATATACATAAATGACATAGATATCGGCATAGACAGCAACATAAGTAAATTTGCTGATAGGACGTGTAATTAAATCTGACGAGGACTCCGCAAAACTACAGGAACATCTAAACAAATTTTTTGAATGATCTGAAAAATAGCAGATGAAATTCAATGTGGACAAATGTAAAGTACTTAGTACTGTATATGAGATGTAAACAGGGAAACCAGATACCAGATGAACAACGATGTTATTGAGAAATCCGACTGCGAGAGAGATTTAGGAGTAATGATAAGTAGGAATCTTAAGCCAAGTAAACAATGTGTATTTGCTCGAAACAAAGCTAATAAAGTACTTGGGTTCATACAAAGGAGTGTTAGTTACAAGACTAGCGAGGTCATCCTAAAACTATATCTTGCGCTTGTGAGACCTCACTTGGATCATGCAGTTCAGTTCTGGTCACCGTATTACAGAATGGATATAGAATCCTTGGAAAGAATTCAGAGGAGAATGACAAGACTAATCCCGGGCGTTAGGAACCTTGAGTACAGAGACAGGTTAAAGCATCTTAATTTGCACTCCTTCGAGAGACATAGAGTGAGGGGCGATATGATAGAGGTGTATACCGCAAATAGAAGTCAGGGCTATAGAAGGAAGCATTTCGTATCTCAGGAATAAATCAGATCTGCTGGAGGAACAGCACTTTTCCTATTCAAGTTTTGTCCAGTAAATACGGTGATATCTCCGTTAGCCGGAACAATTGGTGCAGAGCACTTCTGGGAATGAGAGATTTCCGGGTAACTAGACGACTCTCTCAAAGCAGGAAAAATCCCTCATCCCCGGAATTTTCCAGGTACAGTACTGGAAAATTTGTCTTGGAATTCCAGAGAATGCCCCCGATTTTCATTTAGCAAACCTGAATTTTCTGGGTACCGGGAAAATGTTCTCGTAATTTTCCAGAAAATGTACCGATCTGAAAATCGTTCCCAAAGCAGGAATTTTCTGGAAAAATCAAGCTTTGGGAATGATTTTCCGAGAAAATTTAAATTCCGGCTGTCAGAGAGTTCCGGGTTTGAGGGATTCCGGCTAACGGAGACATTACTGCACAACTCTCACCCACTCTCTTCACAACCGATGCCATGTTGTGCATGACTGTTGATTGTGCATCTACCAAGCGACCGTCACTGCTATAATGTTTCCCAGCCAGCCAGATAATAATGACTGATCTTCCTTCCTTTACATACAACCCTGCCTAAGAAAACCTAAGATAAGATAATATTAATAATAATAATATTAATAATAATAATATTAATAATAATAATATTAACAATAATAACAATATTTTCACCAAAGTTGTTATGATATAAATCACATGATTAAAATAGATTTAAACGAGAGAGACAACACAGGCATCTCTCACCACCTCTAATGGGTCAGGCACTTTGAAAACCATCCAGTTATCAGGGAGTAAATTACAGGTACATGATATACGGCTCCAAACAACAATAAGACCCCAATATTTTACCTAAAAGATTAAATACAGTATGTTGAGAACAACAAATACCCTAATATTATTATGTTACTAAAACTACACTAATTAAATACATAAAAAAAATTAAACAACCCCCCCACCCCCCACAATAATAATAACAAGCCTAATGCTTAACAATGTTTAACTTTGTCTCCTCGAAGCCTTGCCTTACCCAGAGTCATTAGGACGCTTGTCAGCCTTTTTCAAACTTACAGGCTGACCTCACGAATTTGTGTCTCAGAAGTCATATGCCAATCTGTGTACAGTATTTTCATGAACGTTCCCCAATTACTGTGTTTTTGGTTTCTTTGAGAAAAAATAACTATTAAATTGTTTTGAAATTTAAATGCTTGAAAAAATACGTGAATTTGCAGAAAAAAACAATCTCCTTAACGCTTATGCCACTCTACAGTACGGTATATAAATAATGTGGCTTAACAATACTGAACGTACAGGTATTATATAAAACTATAAAACAAGAAAAATTATATATTTTTTCCAGGATAAAGGAAATATTTTTACCAGGATATAGGAAATATTTTTACCAGGATATAGGAAATATATATTTTTTTATTTGAACAAAGACCAAACTATATATATCTTCAACACTTTATGCAAGAGAGCCACTGTGGTGAATAACATGGGCCAAATACAATAATAAAAGTAGCCTCGTTTAGTGCCGGGTCAAGTGCATTATTTTCCAAACTTGTATCGTATACAGTAAGTAATTTAGGCAAACAGTACATTATAAAGTAAAAGATGGAGGAAGTTACATTGTGCAGTACAGAGAAGTTTATTATTCTTGCATCACATTGATAATATTCCTTTGTTCCTGCAGCTATGATGAGCAGAACGCCTACTTGTATGGTCTCATCCGCCGCCACGATATACAGCGTAAGCGTAAACCTGTCTCTGAGCGGAGAACTTGTTCCTACAAATACTATATTCGTATTAAAGGAAAAGAGATACAGGTGAGTGTCAGCCATAGTGTACTAGAAGGTCAGGTCAAGTTAGGTCAGGTCTTAAACTGTAGCAGGTCATGTCTCACACTTTCACCTGTCAGCCATAGTGTACTAGAAGGTCAGGTCAAGTTAGGTCAGGTCTTAAACTGTAGCAGGTCATGTCTCACACTTTCACCTGTCAGCCATAGTGTACTAGAAGGTCAGGTCAAGTTAGGTCAGGTCTTAAACTGTAGCAGGTCATGTCTCACACTTTCACCTGTCAGCCATAGTGTACTAGAAGGTCAGGTCAAGTTAGGTCAGGTCTTAAACTGTAGCAAGTCATGTCTCACACTTTCACCTGTCAGCCATAGTGTACTAGAAGGTCAGGTCAAGTTAGGTCAGGTCTTAAACTGTAGCAAGTCATGTCTCACACTGTTATGAGGATAACTGTGTTGTTATGAGGTTAAGTGTGGTGTTATGAGGTTAAGTGTGGTGTTATGAGGTTAAGTGTGGTGTTATGAGGTTAAGTGTGGTGTTATGAGGTTAAGTGTGGTGTTATGAGAAACCTTCCCACAATGATATAATATAGGCACAAGAAGTTAGATCCCTATAGAAGAAATTTACACGGAGCTTTAGTGATAATTACAAACATTTACCAACACCACAGCATAAACCATTCAGTAAAGATAAACATTGAATATGTTTATGTGATTTAACATTCTCACTTCAGGTGTGTAAGAAAGCTTTTGCCAACATCCACGGTATATCAGATAAGAAGATCAGAACACTGTGTATAAAGCATGAGCAGAACATCTTGTTTCCCAGAGACAACAGGGGAAGACATCGCAACCGACCTAAGAAGGTGAGTGAGTCTTTTATTCCTGCTCCAATATTTGACTTATGTTAATAGAATTTGTTGTATCTTTTTTTTCTTAATTTTTTGTAGCAATTACCATTTCTTTATTTACAGTGCAATACAGTACAGTGCAGTACAGTGCAGTACAGTACAGTGCAGTACAGTGCAGTACAGTGCAATACAGTGCAGTGCAGTACAGTACAGTGCAATACAGTGCAGTACAGTGCGGTACAGTACAGTGCAGTACAGTACAGTGCAATACAGTGCAGTACAGTGCGGTACAGTACAGTGCAGTACAGTACAGTGCAATACAGTGCAGTACAGTGCAGTGCAGTATAGTAGTACAGTAAAGTACTTGTACAATACAGTACAGTACAGTACAGTACAGTGTATAGTACAGTGCAGTAGTGCAGTAGTACAGTGCAGTACAGTAGTAGGTATAGTACAGTACAGTACAGTGCAGTACAGTACCAGTGCTCAGTACAGTACAGTCTTGATTACACTACAGTAAAGTACTTTATAGTACAGTACAGTGCAGTACAGTACAGTACAGTACAGTGCAGTACAGTACAGTGCGGTACAGTGCAGTACAGTACGGTATAGTACAGTACAGTACAGTGCGGTACAGTACAGTAAAGTACTTTATAGTACAGTACAGTGCAGTACAGTATAAATATTAAAACATTTAACATCCTCTCTGAAATGCTAATGTCTTGAAATCATTTTCATTTTGATGGTCCAGTTATTTAACATTATTTTAGATAATAACAGGTCTGCTTACACCTATTGTGAACATATTTTGTATGAATATATGGACAGCTACACCAACATTTTCTATGAACCAATCAGGGGCGTGGCTTACGGGTCAGGTTAGTGTACTATAATGGTATTAATATTTCATCGTTAACTTGACAGGTAACGCCGGAGTTGGTGACACTGATCAAGCATCACATCTTAAAAATGTTGTCGGGGCCCAACGGTAGTGACTATATCAAGACAGACAAGAACCAGGGTCCTGATGTTAACATATCCAAACTACACAAGAGTTTCCTGCAGCAGTATGAACCTGAAGCTATTGACCAAGAGACAGGTGAGTGTTGTATATATTGTACCTGTCATGTCACTGTCATGGTAACCATCCCCCCTCACACACACACAGTAGCAGGAGAATTATAGTAATAAAGAAGACAGCCATATTTTAAGTTCAGTATAACCATATCTTTTATAATAGAACATCTCTGCTACAGGAACACGGTACAGTACTGAAGCTACAGAATATAAAACTGAAGTTGTTGTTGTTTTCTTGCTACAGATAAAGTCATTAAGGACTATGATGCCAAGGTGAAGTCATGGCTCTACTTCAAAGTGTTTCATGAGGAATTCAAATCAATGGACTTCAACACAGTCAAGAGGAAACTGTCAGATTTACGCAAGAGTTTAGAAGCGTCGGGAGCTCTGCAGGCCACCAAGAAGAAGACCACCAAACAGTCGCGTCCACGGCCTCGTCCACAGGAGAACCAGGTCGCTCGCAACGCCACGCCCATCGATGCCTCCACATCTTCCCTGGGTGTGGCGGTGTCGGCCGCCCCGGCCACACAGATGGGTGGGTACATGGGTCAGCAGCCCCCGACCCTCCCACCAAACCTCCAGTTAAGTGTTCTTGGTCTCCAGCATTTAGGGAATAACTCTCACGCTGGAGCAGCTTTCAACCCCACAGCAGCTGCTCAGCAGCCTCAACAGCAGCCTCTCAACCTCCAGACCGGTGGGGGCGGGGAACAGCCCCAGCCGCTGCCCTTAAACTTACACTCCATGGGTGGTCACATGCCTTCCTACTACCTCTCCTTAGGTCACATGTCAAACCTCATATCCCTCCCCGTGTCTTCGGGAGGAGGAGTTCAGGGGGCCAATACTCAGTCTGGCAACTTCCCCGGCCAGCACAACATGCAGCAGTTTAACCCGGGTTCTATCGTACCGTCTCACTCTGTAGCACAGACGGCTCCTGGACCTGCAGGTCAGCCTCACTTACTTCAGGGCGGGGTCGGGGTCACGTACGCTGGTCCTCAACACAACCACGCCATGTACTGACCGTCTTAATACATTATAATGTGGCACATTATAATGTATACTGGTGGCATTTTTAGTGAAGTAATGTATAAGGATTTTGTATGACCTACAGATCATTCATCAAGTGACCTGTAAGATGACCCACAGAGCAGGGCCTATACTGTTTAAGAGGCCATGGTGTTTGAGGTGGCACCACTGTCCCACCTGGATCACTGTTAACTGACACTCATCCAATCACACCAGAGTTTATGGAGCAGCGGGAGGCCTCGGTGAAGAGGTCTGACGGTGACACACAATTGTTCTCTCCTTGTGACGTTCTTTTACAAAATAAAAGAAGACTCCAACCTTGAACTAGTGATTGTTTTGAGAGTCACCAAGTACACACCCATCCACTAGTTAGCTGGACTTGGCTCCCTCAGATATAAACTTGAGAGTATTACCAAACCTCACATTTCCCTGCCTGGCACCAGGTCTGCTCTTCTCTACATAACATCCACCCAAATATTCTCTACAAATTAAAAATTTCTCATGTTGAAAATGTGGCAGTTGATTTAATAATCCCCAAAATAAAAAATGGTTTTCCCCATAAGTAGGAAATTGGTACAGTACCGTAGTAATTAGTGGTGTCACAAAATACAAACATTGAATTGGTGGCACCTATGTGTTGAGTTAAGGTGAGTCCCATTGGTGGCACCTGTGTGTTGAGTTAAGGTGAGTCCCCTTGAGCCTGGTGATTTACTCCCTCCAGCAGTGAAGAACATATCCAGTAGTATTAGTTTATTATATATGAGTCATTATAGAATACTGAAGACATTTGTATCGGCCTTTTTGTGAGGCAAAGCAGAGAAGTACATGAATTTCTAACTTTCCATTTAACTTGTGTAAATTGATGCCTTGAAGGGAACTTTCCCATTATTGTAACTTACAGACAACTGAAGATAGTGTATTCTATCTTTATGAACTTCACTTTATTAATAGAGGGATGATGGACATTTATCCAGTATGTAGGTGGATGTGAGTGAGTGAGTGTGATGACCAGAGGACTAGTCTTCCTTGATAGGAGGTGAAGGACATCTTGTCAAGGATGTTTATTGCTTCCTTGGTGCGCCCCCAAATTCATCATCCCTCACTTACAGGCCACATGCTTAATAACTTGTTAGCTATAAAACAAAGGATCCACCTGTAGGTACGTAACTCCTCTTGGTGTGTTTCATCATTGGCAGGAAAATGTGAGGCTTGTGGCTGGATTCTCAAGTTTGTCTGAAGGATTCAAATTAAGTGAACTAGTTTGAGGGTTCATCGTGGCATACTAGTGGTCCACCTCTCTCGTGAAGTCAGCAGAATAGAAGGTTACCTCATGAACCTTAGTGTGGCTGAATTAATGCTTCTTTACAGTGTTAACTCTACCTGACATTGACAGACAGTGGCCATCCCTCATAACACAACTGGCCCCCTGAACATAACTGAGACAGACAGTGGCCATCCCTCATAACACAACTGGCCCCCTGGACATAACTGAGACAGACAGTGGCCATCCCTCATAACACAACTGGCCCCCTGGACATAACTGAGACAGACAGTGGCCATGCCTCTTAACACAACTGGCCCACTGGACATAACTAAGACAGACAGTGGCCATCCCTCATAACACAACTGGCCCCCTGGACATAACTGAGACAGACAGTGGCCATCCCTCATAACACAACTGGCCCCCTGGACATAACTGAGACAGACAGTGGCCATGCCTCTTAACACTCTTGGCCACTGGACAGAGCCAGTTGGCTTTGTCTATAAGTTGTTCAAGCAGGTAAACTTGCAGGTCACCTGATTCTTCACCTCAACCATAAAGAAAATATTTCATACTTTTTTTTCCTTTTTGATACTGTTGAAAATCACATATTTGTTGTACAATATAGTACTGTACTGGCAAACTATTAAACTAGTTAACAGATAAAGTAGATATGGTGCTGATCAAGTGTATGAGGCAAGATATATATATTTTTGGCTCCCATGGGATTGTTTGAGCAAGAAGAGGTAGTAGTAAATATAACCCCAATACCCCTTAATGATAAGGAAACAATGGCTGTGCTAGAGTAGGTTCTGACACTTTCTCAGTGAACATATTTTACATTTACAATATCGTCGTCAGTAACTACCTGGATGTGGGTTGTTCGCCTTCATCATCATTTCCCTGGGCTTCACAGACACACTCATGTTTACAGTTAGTTCTCCTGTAACCAGTTTAATTGGTGTGTGTGGCCAGTCCATCATTCCAGTTACTTGTGAAAAATCTCCTTAGCCGGACAGAATTATCACTGAACTGGACCTTGATCACAGAGACATCACAAAATAAACCAGAATATAGGGAACAGTAGAACAATATTGTGTCGAAAGGTAAATAAAAAAAAAGTGTGTGTAATATAAGTGTTGGGCTGGGTGTAGTAAACAGAAATGAGAGAATGCTGTAGAGATAATAATAATAGACAAGTCTTATTAGTCTCAGACACAGATATTGTTTAATTCTGGTTAAGAATTGTTGAGTTAATGGAGACCTCAATGTACATCAGTGGTTTATAGTGGTACTTTAATTGACAGATAGTAAGGATTTAGTATCACACTCTTGACTAAGTGGACATCTTTTCCATGTGTAACAGTCGGTCCTCCAATACAGATTCAAGTTTGTTTTGAACACATAATTGCTTTCTACATTTATAGCATCTTAAATAATTTTTACAACATTTACCATTGTTTAAAAAATCATTATAAACACTTAGAGATATTCAATAAAATATTAATATGATGTCATAAAGAAATAAACTGTAAAATAGGAAAGGAAAATATTGTTGGCAGTGTCCAGGGCCAACAGGTAATACACCTTTTACTGTGTTTTACTCTTTACTTCACTAAATCATATCAAAGAGTCTATGCTCTGGGAGGATGGCTCACTCAGTGTTAAGTTTTTGATCTCCCGCTAAGGTGGCACCGCCAAGTAGTCAGTAGGTTATGGACATCAATGTTTAGGTGTCTAGGAATGTTGTCTCATAGCAACACATTGATGATTTTGCCAAAAAACAATGCACTAATATTTGCTTACTTAAAGGGAATATACTTCCTTCGGTTGTTCAGTAAGAGCAGTGGTGGCAGCTGCAGCTTTACACCAGTTAATTTGGAAGAAAAAAATCACAAAGTAAACCAATGCACTTTGTTGTAATTGTTTTGAACAAGTTATTAATGATATAAAGAACATCAGTGTTTTTACAAGTCGGTAAAAGAATTGGCAGTAACATTACTGTACTTTTTCACGAGGTTATTGATGACCAACATTTAACAAAAAAGTACTGTACAGCTTCCATCCCACAACTACCAAGGTATTGCTGGAAATTTATGACTAGCTGTAAAAATTAGTTTCCTACTGTGGAAAAAGTTTGAAGATCAGACTACATTATTCCATGTTGAAATAATATTTATTCAGTGAAATTGTCATGCAGGTTTACAGTTAGATAGGCATGTATGTAGACTATGCTTCTGTATGCCACTTGCCACATGGAATTTTTCTTGAATCATCAGTGATTTAAAGTAAGAAAAATTGAGTGAAATTGCCTTCATAGGTTAGGTTGGGATTGGTTAGGTTTTCATGAATTTCACACTTGTTTCTTGGGTTCATGTTGACTCATAAGGGATGAGTTGTAATCCATTCAAAACATCGAACTATGCAGCAAAACATCATTTCATCAAAAAGTCGTTGGGGTCTAAAAACGAATATTGAGCCAAAATGTCAAAGTTCCAGCCTTATGTTTTCAACAATCCAACAATATTCTGCTAACTTTATAAATATATTTTGTTGATAATCTGTTGTTCACTAAAGGTTCTGAAGAGTAGAAAATTATCAATACTGAAGACATTAAATGAAGAGAGAGCTCATAAAAACATTGGCACAAGTAGCTTTATGACTCGCTCTTTTTGGCTCCTTTGGTAATCTGAATAAAGACAGATTTCTGTTCCTTTTCGTGTTGTTGGAACAATCATTATAACACATTGTAGGTGGTAAAATACACTGATATCCCCATTAGTCTGAGCAGTTGGTGTAGAGCACTCCAAGGAATGACAGATTTCTGGGAACGAAGCGACTCATCAGACCAAGAAAAAATCCCCCGTCCCTTAAATTTTTCCGGGTACAGTACTGGGAAAAGTTTATTGGAATTTTTTGCTTTATTTCATCCTTGGAATTTGCTTTCAGAACCCAGAAAAAAAAATATTGGAGAGAGTTTCTAGAATTTTGCTCATAATTTTCCAGAAAATGTGCCCGATTTTCAACCTCATAGAATCATTCCAAAACCCAGAACTGAGAGAAATTTCCCAGAGAAATTCCAAGCAAATTTCAGTTCTGGCTATTGGGGAGTTCCGGCCAACACTCATTGAAATGTGCGTCTCCCTCTCTTTAATCTCTGCCTGCCATTTATTGTTTGTGCTTGGCTGGGCCACAGTCGGGGTGAATGAGTTCACCCAATGTAGTGAGCCATCTCTTTACAGTATAGACTCCTTGGTCATACTTCAAATAATTTATGTTTTTTTTTTAATTTTAGGTTAAGTGTAGGAGACTCCTGAGTCCTGGAGAAACTGTTGTTCTGTTGTGTATTAATTACTTCTCTCTCCACAAATGTTAATAAAGAGAAGAAAGTTAAGATAAAGTTTGTCTCGTGAAGCAGTTGTGTTATGACTTGAACCACAGCAGGTGACAACTGCAGGTATGACAGTACTGTACTGGTGTACCACAACACACTTCGCCACAATATACCTCACAACACACTTCACCACATTGTGCCACAATTATGTTAGATAATTTATGTATGATAATAAGTTACAACTGTTTGAGGATATTAAATTAGGTTGAGGTTTACCATAATAACACAGTACAGTGCAGCACAACACAGTACAGTGCAGTACAGTACAGTACAACACAGTACAATACAGTGCAGTACAGTACAATACAGTACAGCACAACACAGTACAGTACCCCTATACAGCACAACACAGTACAGTACAGCACAACACAGTACAGTACCCCTATACAGTGCAACACAGTACCTCTGTACAGCACAACACAGTACAGTACAGTGCAGTACAACACAGTACAGTACCGTACAGGACAGAAAGGTTGCATTACCACCAATATGATTTATCTGGTTATGTCAAATGAATATTACCTTAAGAGAAATATTTTAGCAAATGTGTGCGTGCGTGCGTGCATGCGTGTAGCAGTAGGTCTCTCAGTAATGTTCTGATGATTCTGTACAACTGTACCTTTGTTATTTGCCACTACTGTACTGTACAGGTATACAGTGAGGGCATTCATAAGTTTGTTCCTACACAGTACAGTACAGTACAGTACTTGCCTTCTATATCATAACTCTTATTATTGAATGTATTTAGTTTTTTATATGTTTTTAATTCCTGGAAAAACTTGTCTTAATCTGAGCCAAAGTTGATAAAGTTTGTGTATACAGTACTACAGGTAGTTGAATATGAGAGGGAGTAAAGGTTGTAATTTTTTATCAACAACAGCTTGTGACATTTACCACTGTGATAATTACTTTATAAAGTCAACAACAACAACTTACCCTTTTATTATTGTTATATTTTTCTAGGACTACTTTATATTTATGACCTCCATGCCATAGCAAGTGACCTGTACCATTAAGCACCCTGTCTGCGACATTATTTATTTATTTATTTATGTTTCCACCACTTGTCATCTTACTAGCTGTTTGGAAGGTCAGTCTGTTCTTTGTTACGACCTCTATTGTCCAGTGTTAGTACACGAGGAAGCTAGAGTACAGTACAGTACCCGGGGAAATCCTGCCATGTTTGGTGGTGTGTCACAGCGGATAATACCCTTCTCACATCCGACCCGGACCTGGGAATTTTTACCCTTGGCCACAGTGGTGAGAGGCAAGTGCAGTACTGCAGTCACTACCATCAACACAACCACATTGAAGGAGGGTACAGGACCTAACCTAACCTACTTATGTGACTGGTTAGACCAACGAGGCTGTGTACGTTGGTACTATATAAGCAGCCCTAAGACACTACTGTACTGGGATTATGTGAGGCAGTGATTGACCTGAAGCCCCAGTGAGGTTCAAGATGGTGGTGGTGGTCATGAGGAACAAGTGTGGTTCATCAGCTCACCTGTACAGTATTATTTACAAAAGAAGACCAAGACTCATACCTGCCTCAGCTTGAGTATGGGATGGTCTATGGCAAAATACAAAAAATGAATTATCTGCCACATTTACTGACTGGCAACATAGCCCTCTCCCGCCAAGTGGCCATACTAACAACTGGCTATTTCAATTTTGGGATAATAAGTGTTGAAAATAACTTAAGTGTTCCATGTTAAGTTTTCTTTGGTCTAAATCTTGGTACAGAATACAGGCCTTATATATATTAAGAGTGAATACATTAAGATGGGCGGTGTCTCCAAGGCAGTACAATATAAATTATTTGTATAGCAACAACTCTTAGTGAATTATTTTTAAAACAATCTTCTTTTGTCACTGTTGATATTGGAAGCTTTTCTGTAAAATTATTTAGTAAGTGGAAATTGAGTCAGAGAGGACAGTAATTCTTTGTGTATGAGATCTCTGTGTACTGAATAAGGTCCTCTCGTGTTAGCCAAGTAAAATATTAAAAGTGGCATCCCCAGAGTGAAGGGTTTATAGATTACAGTTTACAATAGAAGACAACAGAGCTCTTACACTAAGGTATTCATTGCCAGAGGTAAACTAAGGGAGCATGTTGAATGTCTTGTCATAGTATGGCCTGAACAACCACCTTCACTCCTGTTACTCATGGTCCAAAGGATCATCTGTACCTTTACTGTAAATTGGTTTCAAGTGAGAGCTAATGAATCAAACTCATTGTCCTCAACCATTCTATTCAAAGGCCTGGTACAGTATCAAGTGTGTGTGTGTGAAGTGCTGTTTGTAGCCATTTTTCATAACTAAGTTTTATTTATGTGGATAATGTAACTTGCCATTAACCCCTTGTGTATGGGGGTTGCCTCTCAGCTGAGTAAAATTGTCTGGCATTACCCAAATAAAATGTTAAAAGTAGCGTGCCCATAGTGAAGGGGTTAAACTATGCAGTACAGTGTTGTGTGTGTAGGAGACAGGTGGTGTTGGTTGGTAGAGTTGTGTTGTCACAGGTCACTTGCTTGACTCCTTAATTTGGCCATAAACTGGGACTTATACAGTGGTCCCTCGGTTAACGAACACAATTCGTTCCAGAAGGTCGTTCGTTAACCAAAAATTTTGTTAACCGAAACCATCGTTTCAATGGGATTTCTGAGCAGGGACACAAACTGACGCCATTCTGGGCGAGTCAAGTGGCTGTTTGGCATGCTAAAAACTAGTTCCCTGTACTTCACTTATGTTAAATAATTGTTAAAATGACTAAAAAAATTAATATAAGACTTGGAAAATTATTGAATAGTACAACCTTCTTGATATTTACTCAAATGGTAACGAATTTAAGCCCTAAAACCGATTACTGTATTGGCAGACTAATACTACAGCTGGTGAGGCGTTCGTTAACCGAGGGACCACTGTATTTAATTTTTACTCCTTTTGCAAAAATTTACATTGCAGAATACTTTATTGTTTGTTTTTACAGAGTAGAGGAAGAGGTGTTGTGCTGTACTGCCCAGTGTCAACATTAACAACCTTACCTTAGTTAAGTCTTAAGTGCCCAGATGTAAACTTCTAACTTATGTTTTATTAAACCTGAATAAAAGTTGTAGGCTATTATTTCTCTGAATAACCTTTTTGTGTTGTTGAGGAGTGAGATATGGCTGAATGTTGCTCCTCAGAAGGAAATATTACTCAACATTATTTGAGGAAACATTTGTATTTTAAAGTGTAATTATTTAATAACTACAGTAAATACAGTATTTACTGTATTAGTAGATTAAGTAACTTCAGAACAACAACACTTTAATGGTGCACAGTACAGTACAGTGTGATGTACTGTATATACTCGTCTATAATTCTACCTGGTTTATAGGCCGACCCCGATTTTTTGACCAAGAAAACATTAATTTATGATATGCCTCGTTTATAGGTCGACCCAAGTTTTTGAGGGTAATGGAACAACAAAACCTTCAGTAAAAACGCTCTATGTCCTATAAACTGAGGCTCACCGTGCCTGAAACACTGAGTGCTGAAGGCAAATTGTTTACCATTTATTATTACGACACTTTACACTGAAACCCGGGTAGTTTCAACAAAAATATTGTATACCGTATATCTCGGCCTATAAGACGGAATTTGAACCTTAAAAAAATCAGCCCAAAATTAGGGGTCAACTTAAATACCTGGTATAAAATTCTAGTTCTTACATATTGTGGTTTAGTGTGTCAAGAGCGGTGATGGAGAACATCGTAAACCACTCGCGCGGTCCTACCACTAATTATTATACAGTGAACCCTCACTTTACGCGGTTAATTCAACCCACAGGGTACCGCGGAAAGTGAGAAACGCGTAAAGTGAACAACATAACATATGGGATTAATTGAAATAGAGACCGGGCCGACCCCCAAACTCCACTTTTTCAGACACAATACGTACGTTGTAGTAAAAATAAGTTCTTAATTTTATGATGGTATGCACACACAATTAATAATTAAGAAAAATATCAATAATATTAGGTTTTTTAACACTTAAATTAGTAGAAAAGATGGCTGGGCACACGGGGATGGGGGGTTTGTTCCGAGGCAGAGGGCAGATTATTGGCCCTCACCTGTATCGCTTGTATCAATTGTATCACTATCCACCACAGAGGCTTGCAGGGCCTCTTTGTCAAACCCCTCAAATTCCATATAAGTCCATATCCTCACTATAATTATCACGATCACTGACTTGGGCCGGCTGTGGTGGGTGGCGGGTGAAGAACTCGGTAATGTTTTGATGACTGGGCGACCTGGTGCTCACCCTGCTCGCGCCGCTTACACAACATGGCGGATGGCGGGAGAGGGCGGGAGAGATGGCGGGAGGTTTGGATCCAAAAATGGCGCGGCTCGCCAGGCGCTCTCCGCGTAAAGGGGTACATGCACCCTGGAATGTGAGCATTCCGGTTTCGGCAGGGTACCGTGGAAACGTGGAATGTGGGACCGCGTAAAGCGAGGGTTGACTGTATACTGAAACTTATGTTAGGGAAGCTGGATTAAAAATAAGATTACCGGTATATAAAAATAATAAAAATGTATTATAAACCTGTCTAACATACCGTAAAATAACAACATACCCTGGTAATAAACACAGCTAACATCATGCCCAGCCCGTCATTTACCAGTGACAAGACAAAAAAAGGGATTGACCGCTGTAGGAGGGGTGAGAGAGGGCTATTTTTAGCCCGTCTTTGTCCGAGGTGGCCAGTAAGGCATACCGGTATATTTACTGATCATAATACTTATGTCCTATAAATAATTAATTTAAAAGTTTTTTTTACAAAGAATATTCAGTAAATGACTGCGATAATTCTTGAAACTACCGACAGTGGTAGTTTTATTCAAGTCAAGTCATCTGATTCAGAATTTGATCCTTAATGATGATGCAACTATAAACCAAGGACCACATAATGCAATACTGAACAAGGAGATCTTGTGCTTCTACAGCAAGGGAAGTTTTCAAAGAGTAATTGGAGACCCCATAGGACTGATCCAAGCTAGTATAAGAGTAAGTTGGGTCATTAACTGAATACAAATTTTAGCCTGACTTCACCATCATCATGTCAGTACTTTTTCAAGGGGCAGGGCACTACAACGAATATTCGAATACATATGTAGATTGTAGTGGATTCCTCCCCTACAAGCGCCGTTTGTCGCTGAGTAGCCAAACCTTCTCGAATTCCCCAGCCTATGCCTCCAGCGCCGCCTACGGAGCGGGGGTCAACTATCAACCC